TTTATTTATCCATCTATTTATTTTATTTCATTTTTGCAGGGGTTGTTTTCGGTATAAACACTATATCCTAGAAAGTAGAATTTGTTTTTGTTTTAGTAAGTTTGTAAATATTTTAAAATACTAAACAAAATAATTTACAGCTATCCACAACCCCATTGAGAATCAATATGAGATTTAAAAAAATAAAAAAAAATTACCGTTCCTTATCTCCAAGTCTGTATCTTAAAAGGCTCCTTAAAATATCTTTGGAATATCAAATGTAACATGTAAACATCTACAGACCTAAATAGAAATTAACTCATAGGATATCATTGTGCTACACTGTAGCATTATTACGGCTGCTAGTGTGGTCCAACACGCAGAAACTATGTAAAGATATACATACAACAGGAAAAGGAAATAAAAGGACAGAGCGTAAACCGGACTAATACGCTAGAGATAGAGAATGGTCAAAGGGAAAGCCGAGGTCAAGGAAGCCAGAAATACTCAGATACCGTTTAAACAAGCCAAGTCAGGAGAACCAGAATTCGGAATAACCAGGGAAAAGCCAAGATCAGGATACCAGGAAGTAATATTCACAAAGATAAATGCACTCTAGGGAACCAGGAACAGGAAACCACAACAGGGCAAGGTACTGGGGTGAATTAGGGATTTAAATATCCCTCTCTAGGCTCTGATTGGTCAGAGGGTGACCTCTGAATGTGCACGTGCGTTGATGTTGTGACTTCACGCGTACGTTGGTATAATTTTGGGGGGTGGAGCCATGGATGGACGTGACCTCATGGTCAACGCCATCTTGGATTTCCCCGAGCGGCATGGAGGAATGGTTCCCGGCTCGCCACTGAGCAGGTAAGCTGAGTGAGTTGGTGCGGTCGTGCCGGTCGGGCACGGATGCACATGGCGGCAAGCCGGGGGCCGTGACAAGCATTTAAAGATTAAATGCTAAACTACACTATGTACTCACATGGTAGCAGATAAAATATGTCTTCCATTCATGGGTAAAGCGCTACTTCTTCACTCACGTGTTTTTCCCATAAATGTAGGCAAAAAAAAAAAAAAAAAAGCCAAACCTTTGCAAGAAAATCTTTTAATACATAAATGCACTTACAAAGTAAAATGAAATCTAGCATATCAACATTTATCATAGGCATCGGCTCCCAATCTTAATTTCTTGGAAAGGAAGATAGCTGAACCCAAATGACATTATAAATAAAATATAAAGACTACTCTATGTGCTTCACTGTTCTGCATGAACGTCTTTAGAAGATAAAATGTAGACAGAGTTTTCTAATATTGTTTAAATATTTTCATAGTTGCAAAATGTTTTTGGAGTATATGTTCAGAATGCTGTATTATGCTCTCTGTGTCTGCAGGGTTTCTCTTTGAGAAAAATTTGACAGGTCGCTAGACAGTACAAGTTAGGAAGTCTGCAATGGACAAAAAGGATCAGCTTAGCTGCAGAATACAAACAAAGTAATATTTTAGGCTTTTAGAAAGGAAATTTTGAAAATCTATTGCGTATTCTTATCTGTATTGTTTGAATGTATTAATTTTGTATCCTAGACATTCCCTTTAAAGAATTTTAGCCTAGTACAATCGTTGCTACTTATGCTTGAAAAATAAGTAACAGAGTTAGAGTAGTTAAACCCAGCAGTAAGCTTTTAAGTAAACATCACTGACTGTTTAACCCCTTAAGGACTGGACTGTTTTTGCGATGTTGTACATTTGCGACCAGGCATATTTTTACACTTTTGTGGTGTTTGTGTTTGGCTGGAATTTTCCGCTCTCTCATTTACTGTTCCCATACAAATTATATATTGTTTTTTTCAGGACAAAAGGGGCTTTCTTTACATACCATTATTTATATAATCTCATGTATTTTAAATAAAAAAAATAAAAAAATGATGAAAAATTGAAAAAAATACATGTTTTTTGACTTTTACTTGAAAAATCTTTTACTCATCTACAAAAGCAAATTAAAAAAACTGCTAAATGGATTAAAAATTTTGTCCTGAGTTTAAAAATACCCCGTGTTTACATGCTTTTTTGCTTTTTTTTGCATGTTATAGGGCTATAGGTACAAGTAGAATATTGCGGTTTCAAAACATACATTTTTTAAATTTATCAATAGTGACATTGTAACACTATTATCTGTCATAAATCTCTGAATAACACCCCACATGTACATATTTTTTTTAAAGTAGACAACCCAGGGTATTCAATATGGGGTATGTCCAGTCTTTTTTAGTAGCCACTTAGTCGAAAACACTGGCCAAAGTAAGCATTCATATTTGTTTGTGTGTGAAAAAGTAAAAAAACTAAATTGAACGCTAATTTTGGCCAGTGTTTGTGACCAAGTGGTTACTAAAAAAGACTGGACATACCCCATTTGCAATACCTTGGGTTGTCTTCTTTTGCAAATGGTATGCCATCATGGGGGTAATTCTCATTCCTGGGCTACCATACGCTCTCAAAGGCAACGTAACCAACCTGGCCATTTTCAATGTAAAAATATTTGACCCATATATTTGACCTTGTAACTTTCAAAAATGCTATAAAACCTGTACATGGGGG